GCTCGTTGCTCACGCGGTGTTCCCACTAGACGTGAGCTAAAGTGTGAAGGCACCCGTGGGCGAAGGTAACTAGCCTCTTTATGTCCGCTGATATAAGGGGCCAGGTTTCAGTGTCAATGGAATAGTCTGCGTTAGTTCAGACAAATGCAAAATTTTCGATGGAGACTCAGTCGGACTACCACCATATATACAGAAAACACCGGCGTATATTCCGTTTGAAAATCGTGAAGGATACGCATTCCATGGAACCGGTGAGCCGTCTGAACCAGTGACCCAATGCTTACTGAAGGGATCCGAATGCGACGATGCGCCACCGAATACGGGAGGTTGCTACCAGAAAATCCACAATGTCCGTCATAACACACACATAAACAGTGAGGGTTTGGGATAGTACATGACAATGAGCTAGCCAGAAGTCACTCTGAATCATGAAAACGATTGATGGCAAGTAAATAATTCCATTATCTTGTAATGAAACGTATACAAAAATGAGCGGGAAGTCGTATTACGCTTCTAAGCTGGGATCCCACTTCTCAGCCTCCTACCGTTTGATTCGTCGGTTTGTCACTATGTGTTCCACTCCGTTGTATGTACTGTTCTCCCGCATATTTCCCAGAGTTTCTAAATATGTGTGATACAATGCTTGTTATGCCACGTAAACATCTGTGCTAGTATATCAGCATTGAAAAAGAAATAGATGTCAGCAATATGGTGTCTGGCCACATAAATTCTTGCCGGAAGTTGCCTTCAGAAATACCCACCGAGGCCAAACAGGCCATTCACAGTGTGCTATCTGAATATGTAACTAATTCCCAGAGCCCGCAAAGTATTAAATATTGTAGACTTGGACACCGCTCACGGTTTCTCGGTCAAATTTCATCCGACGCGCATTTGCAGGCGCGTTTAAAATGATGAAAATTCTGTTCACGCATTTGGAACCGTTGCAATCACCGTAGTCCGCTCATGGAAAACCAATTATGTAGTCACCGTTAAAATATAACAAGGGAAAATTCACATTTCCATGTGGGACCTGATGCGAAACGTAAGTAGCCCTTCAGTATCCAGGATTACGGCGCCAACACCACGGGATCACAAACAGCTGCCTATCGTAAGAAGTTGAGGCTGCACCGAGGTGACAAAGTCTGCATGAGCTACAATACTCCACGCATAACTCAGCACCATACAAAAAGCTCGTACAAGTAGACTGCTTAAGAAACGAAGGTAAAAACGCCTATCATACCGGTTGTATAGAACGCAATGTCGTGAGCTAATTGCAGTGGGTGGTTGCTTCCCCCAACATTGAACATTGAGGTATGTTAATATCAACATGGAAGGTGAGACGGACCAAGAGGCCGCACAGTTTTTCGTCACTGGACGCCAGCCGTTAGCAGAAGAAATGGTGCTCTCGAGCACGCCATCACCAGAGAAGCAAGCAAAGTAAGGGTTTATTAAACAAACGATGGAACAGGAAGCACATTCGCCAGTTAGTTGCCCGTAATAAAGCAAAATGTGTCCGAAAGGATTATTACCACTGCAAGAAACGTCCAGTAAATACATGCACGTCACGTGGTGTTTCAGATTCCTTGGAGATTGAAGGAAACGGCAAAGCGACACCACGGAACGAGCTGCTCCGGAGTTGGTGGGTAACCAGGCTGGATGACAAACACAGATGACGTTTCAGTCTATTCGCACTATGTAAACACTTTCAATAGGAGTAGAGGATGCGGCATGTGTGTAACTGAAGAAACGAGGAAGTCCATCTCGAAGAGAAATGTGGGTTGCAGCTCAAGCTCTCCTATAAAGACAGATGTTGACTTAAAAATAGAACCGCTACGGCTTCCCAAATTAAAACCGAATCTCGGGCTGCTTTATGAGATCTTGCACCGACTAATACATACCAGTTACAATCAGCCGGTATGCAACAACATTCGCTCTAGAACCTGAGAAACAGAACTATGCCGTAAGGCTCCTCCGACGCCGCAGACGTCTAAGCTGCAAGTTTTTTTTACAAAACAGATTTTCTCAATTTTCCGAAGCTCATCTTTGATTCGGACAGTTAAGATGCAAATAAACAAGCATTTAACTGTTAAAGGTAGCAAATATGTTAGTTATATAGATGAATGGCTGTAGATGAACGCGCCTGGTAACATATGTACATCCGAGGGGCTCACAACACAAAAAGAACGGTTGAAGACAAAGAGAAACACTTGCTAATACGTGTTTGTTGATGTAGTACATAGTGATGGTTGCTTTCTTTGGCCTCTGATTATGAGCACTAGCTATTCTTGATTTTATTTTGATCGAGCAAATGAGTTCCGTTGTTCATTTCTGTCGCGTGCATTGTTATACTCTCCTTTCTCAAACCAAAGAATCAATGATGGTCCGTGAAAAACGGGAGCACACGGTGGGTTGGATAACAGTCTCGTCTTTCACCCTCCTTAATACGTCATCTCCAGTACTCAAACAGACGAAATACGCATGCATGTATATGAAACATGGCCATATTGAAAGATTAAAAGTTGATACTCGATCACTTATCACCCTGCCCTATACACTTAGTTCCACTTCTAGACAGTTATTATATCTCGCCATCTTTATAAAACAAGCTGATTGTTTCAGCCGACTGTAAGCACTTATTACGGGGACAGTCTCTAGGCTAGCTTTTCATCGCTTACGACTGCCTTTGTTGCCCTTCGTCACTCCACGTGGTTAGAAAGTATTACTGTAAGTAAACACAAAAACCTCTTATAGATACTGTTCTAGGTGTAAGTTGTTTTGTGTTCCCCTAATTATTTTTCCCTATTGCATGATCTGCCTGAATAACGCTCGAACCTTCCGGATTATCAATTGATCTGAAGCCTTGTTGTAACAAAATTAATGGAGAAAGCAACAATGGAGAAAGAAACTGCGGGAGGTATTGCGAAAGAATAGTTGCAATATCAGTATGAATTTCATATGCATCTTATGGTCGGACAAGGTTCGCAGGACCGTGTTTCACATCGTTTAAAATATACCTATTATGACTGTTACAGTGCCCCATGCTGAGCCTGATATTGCATTCTTGGTGCTTCTTCACCGCAGTTGGGCTAAACCAAGACAATTAAAGTAGGTCGTTTTAAGCTGGATACATTTCATTCCACTTTATTTGGTTTGTTCTGCCTACCTGAATAATCTTCTATTAACTGGCCACGTTGCTTACGCTAATTGCGGTTATCCTCGATAACTTTGTTGCGTTTGTAGCATTTTTAAGTAACTTGTGGACATATTTTACTTATCGAGGGTTCGTTGCTAATCAACTTACTTCATATGCATATTTATCGCAGAGTTATATCGCCGTATCTGTATGCATAATTCGATTTAGTTTATTTCATCTTGTCTTTTCAAGGGACTGACTGTTGCCTGATATCCCCGGTGTGGATGCGCTTGATATGCATGTTGACAAGGTGCCTAACTGCCTATAACCCACTACCTCCTCCATACTGGCTCCAGGAGGCAATTGGTTGTTGCTGGAGGGGACGGGGTGCAGGGTCCTTGTGGTCGTGCTAGGTTCGAAGAGTGATTCCATGCACTCAGTGTGGAGCGGACTACGGTCTAGCCACCGACTTGTATGCGCTTGATTCCCAACTACAGCGTGCTTGTGCTTGCCTGTGAAGGAGTGTGGGCCGGCTACGTTGAAGAAACCTGGCTCTCATCCACATGCCTCCCGGTCTTATTCCTTCGGGTTTACACTGGATATGGGGTGTGTGGTTGAAGCTGTGGATGGTGCAGCGCAAGCCACCCATGGTCCCTCTGTAGGCGCAGAATTCTTGTGGCTAGCCAGAGTGACAGGTAAATCCCAAACCGGATGTCGCCAACCATGACTGTTACCGCAGGTAGGTCTCAACGCCATCGGCTACCGACATTTCCCGAGTTTGGATGATTGTGGAATACGAATGAGTTGAAGATATATTCGCCGTACTCTCCCGTACACTCCACCCGGGTGGACATGCTGGTACATTGGACATCAGCGAGTGCCAGCAACCAATGCCGGTCATATTAGCTGATGCTCAGTCGCAAGGTATGTTGACATCGTTAGTGCAAGCACGGCCAAAATAGGTATTGTCTTTGCGTATTTGCTATTTCAATGGTTGCCATCGCCATATTGTTGAAATCCAATTCACTTGACTGAGAGAATTATAGTATTGCTTCAGTGAGCTCAGAGCCAGGATTAGGTAGAGAATGTTACTGAGGTAGTCGGATTGCACCAAGATGTTATCAGTACGCGCCTTAATAGGTGGCTCTCAGGCTCGCCTAGAGCGGACACAACAACAAGTCTGTTCTCTTCTGACCAGCTTACTGTATGCAGCAGATAAGTCAACTCCTTTGGAAATGCACAGAGACCGATGGGGTGTGAGTGGAATTCGTTGGGAGACATCATGACTGTAGGTAGGTTTTGAAACTGTTAGAGCATCCAAATCTAAGCAGGAAGGCGATTAAGGTCTCTAACCAAAGTGTTTGGTAAATGGCCAAGGGATTGGGCATCCGCATTGTAAAGTCACCGGCTCGAATCTGTCGGGCGAACTCACAGTATCTCCGGTCGACGCGCTACTGGCGGTGGTCACGTGGCAACGAAAAATCGGCAAAGCGTGTCGATGTAGTGTTGAAGTATATATTTATTTTATTGTCCATAAACAGGTTGGCTACAAGGCAGCGGGAATATGACATGGATCCATAAGGCACGTCATTTGCATGGGCACGTGCAATCTGTTGCAAACCACCAACATGATAAACACAGGATAGTGAGTTTGTGCAAGATTTAATAGGTGAAACAGCAGTGCCTCGTAGGGTACCGTGTAGCACTACTCAGCGTAGTACAACAGGCCGGGTAAGTAAGCGAAGCACCACACCGCGGTAATGTATTAATTCTTTGTGAAGAAAGCGGCCTACACCACTAAACAGAATGTTTTCAACAAACTTATAGCATACAAGACCGAGATTATGTGGATATTGACAACACTCACGTTGGGGGGCAACTTTTTCATCAACCGCTCATATGCCTCAAAGAGTGATCTAGAAGCAGAGGAGTTTCTGGTGGGAACCCTGTTGGGAAAGGGAAGGAGACCATTTAGGCCACAATGTTAGGTAGTAACATGAACAGTTTGAGGGGTTCAACGAAAATCGGATTCAGATATATTTGCCACCTTATAGCAACAGACACAGCAAAATTGGGAAAAGTTTCGTTTGAAACTTCAAGACAGTGAACACAACGGTGATGAAAAACGGCAAAATCCACGAAACTCAGTATCATGAAAACAGCACGTCGAAAACAAATACCGCGATGGATGTAAGTAGCTAGACTGAGTTGCTAGGCCGTAGGCCTAAGCACAAGAAGAAATCCGTTTATCCTGACTCTTTCGAGGATCTTTTGTGGGGCTGCCTAACAACTTCGACGCCTTGTGCTAGTGCACTGATCAGAAGCTAAGTTGGCCCGATCGACAAAGTTATTCCCTCATGTGGGTGGTCAACAATCGTCGGAAATGGAAATCATGGTTTAATCCGAGATAAATGGAGGACGATAGCTATACATATCCCTCAAAAAACAGATTTCGACTGAGAATGACAAATCTTAATGAATTCAATCTCTTGCTGCCAAGTACCTTCGGCTAATGCGAAAATTTCAGTATAAACAAACTGTTTATCGCCTGAGAGCAGCAAGATCAGAGGTAGGAATTCATAGCTGATTTTCGTAGGCAACAGTACCCATCACAGTCAGGGTGCCCAACTCTCGGCGAACAAAAGCTGTCAGGGATTTAAGCACTTAAACGAAGTGATGACATGCGTACTACTAGTGAGAGGTGAAAGAAAGAAACGGCGGTTCAGTGCCCTTTTGTATGCGGGTGATGTGGCGTAGCCGTGATTGGACCAGTTTAAACAATTAACATTCTCAACATAATGTCGTTCGTGGGAGACCTCTAACCAATAATGACATGCTTCTTTGTTGAAAAGATAAGGGTGATGCATAGATATTGTGTTCAGCGTACGAACATTCACTGGACATGTAATCCTATCTTGAAGCACTTCAAGGCTTGAACTTAATTATCGCCTTCGGCGAACAAGCAATTGAAAACCCAGTGGCTTGCGGATATTTGGACCAGAGCATGACAAATCAAGACAACCGCTAAGCGTACTAGCAAACCCACTGAACAAGCACATCAGACGCTAATGGAAATGAGCAATCGCTGAAGACACGATGATGTCACTCATTAGGAAGAGGGTTATCGTTAACTTGGTGTTGATATTTCTGCATTTACGCAGCCCATCGAACAACAAGGACTGGAACTTTCCAAATGCCCCTATGGCCAATTACGTTGCACACAGCAAAGAGTTTGGGCAGATATGCTAAACTGGTGACGGAGTGGGCTCTTAATCATGATTGTGCAACTGCCAACGGAAGTCTCTCCAACCAGCCCGTTCATCGACCGTCACCTAATACGTTACTTACTTCACCTAATTTGGCAGCTACATCAGTAACGATGAGCTCATAACGACTGAAGTCAGTTCACGTATCGCAAGAGCTCGAATTGATTGTTGGAATCTACATCTGTGGCATCTGACCAGGAGAAAGTAAGAATTGCCTTGGAAATCCACTATTTCAGCGATTAATCGATTAATAACGAGTATCGTATCGATTTCGAACGTTCCGGAAGGTTCTAGTTCTGCACATGATTAAAAACACCTGACACCTCGGCAAAAGATATGGGGAACCACCAACCCTGGTAGCTGACCTTCCAATGCTAGAAGTCGAAGGACAGTAAGAGACCTATAAATACAGCCAAGGTCCGCAGTAGTTATATAGTGCTCGTTGGCGGTGATTAATACGTTACTTTGCCAAGGTCCATGGCGTTTTGCTTTTTCCTTCGGCTGGGCTAGAAGTTTTGTGGAGCAGTAAATTGTTATTTTTGGAATTGCGTATAGTGAGAAGATTATAACAAATGGCGACGGAGAAAATTGGAAATGTTATGAATTTTTCTGCTGGACAACTTCAAAAGCTGCTTTTCCAACAACAAGCTCAAATGGAGGCACAAATGAAAATGATCGAAAATCTGACACAATGCTTGAGTTTGCAGACAACAAGAGCAGCGACGCGGGACATGCAGGCGATCACTGAATTCAATTACGATGCAGGTTCTGGACGCACCTTCGAAGCGTGGTTCAAGCGCTGGGAAGACATGTTCCGGACGGACTTTATTCGTCAGGACAACTCTTGGAAGGTGCGATTGCTACTCCGCAAGCTCGGAATAAGTGAACATTCAAGGTTCGTTGACCACATTTTGCCTAAACAGCCAAAGGATCTGACTTCTGACGAAGAAGTGAAGGAAATTTTTGGTGAGTCGGTATCCTTGTTTAGTATTCGTTATCAATGCCTGAAAATTGTCAAACAGGAATCGGACGACTTTGGGGCCCCAGCAGAAATGAGTAACCGTGAGTGTGAACGTTTCAAACTACGCTCTTTAAAGGACGATCAGTTTAAGTGTCTCATTTTCGTTAGTGCTCAACAATCGCCCAATGATGCTGAGATCCGCACGCGGCATATAGCTAAGCTGGAGCAGGATCCTGATCTGACACTCAAGGCGCTAGTAAACGAATGCAAACGGCTGTTCACTCTAAAACACGACACTGCCATGGTCGAACGGAATGTTCTCGCACCACCAGATACCGTGCAACACATGAAAAAGGCCAGAAACGCCAACCGAAGCAAACCCATCAAGAGGCCTATGAACAAACCGCCCACAACATGCTGATCATGCGGTGAATGGCATTTCGCGCGTTTTTGTCGCTTCGAACATCATATTTGTCAAACGTGTCATAAGCGTGACCATAAAGAGGAATGCTGCAGTCAGGTCCGGTCGAAGAAAGTGAAGTCTTATCGAAAGGAGAATTCTAGAAAGGATGGCGCCGAGTCTCTGTCCAGAGTTGCCGCATTCCAAAGCGAGTGTAAACCGAGACGACGATCTATCAGTGTGTTGATCAATGGGATCCCAACGAAACTGCAATTTGACATGGCCTCGGACATCACGATTATTTCCAGGAGCACATGGAATCACATAAAGAGGCCGAAGATGGCTGAGTCTCAGAAAGTTGCACATAATGCATCCGGCGGTGTGTTAAACTTAGTGGGCGAATTCAATTGCAAGATTGCTTTCCAAGTCGAGAACATGCCACATTTCAGACCGGCCGAATTTGTATCTTCTTGGTCTCGACTGGATTAAAAACGTGAAACTCCTCGATGTTCCCTTGAATCAGATCTGTAACCGAGTTTGAGCAAGTCCAGATCCATCATCAAAGCCCGTCGAGGACATGACACGTACCCTGAAGCGAAAATTTGCTTCTGTCTTTCAGGATGGCTTGGGCCATCGTACGAAATTCAAGGCAACACTGAACTTGCGACCAGGTGCTAAACCAGTGTTCAAGGCTAAAAAAACCGGTACCATACGCAGCCATGTCAACCGGTGATCAAGAAATCGATCGACTGGAATGTGCCGGAGTCATCACAGCCATCAACTACTCATCATGGGCCGCACATTTTGTCGCAGTGAAGAAAGCAAATGGCAAGGTACGCGTCTGCGCTGACTTCTCCACTGGCCTCAACACCGCGCTGGACGACCACCAATACCAACTAACTGTACCGAAAGATATCTTTGCAAAGCTGAATGGTGGTAAGTACTTTGCTAAGCATGATCTATCCGATGCTTGCCTTCAAATGGATGTTGACGAAGTCTTGAGGGAGCTGTTGACGATCAACACTCATCGTGGGCTATTCCAATACAACCGTTTGCCGTTTGGTGTGAAAACGGCGCCAGCCATCTTCCAACAGTTGATGGATACCATGCTAGCAGCCGTTTCCGGAACTGCTGCCTATCTGGATAATATTGTAGTGATAGGTCGAACACCAGAAGAACTATTTAACCGCCTGCATGAAGTGCTTGATTGTATACAGTCGTGCGGTTTCTGGATCCGTGAAGATAAATGCACATTTTTCACGCCGCTCATCAAATACCTCGGTTTTATCCTCAAAAAGGATGGACGTCGACCAGATCCGGAAAACATAGAAGCCATTAAAAAAATGCCTCCACCAACGGATCTACAGTCATTGAATTTCTTTTATGGGCTCATCAGCCACTACAGCGCACTCTTGCCTGAAATGCACCGTCTGCGTGCCCTGTTAAACAAGCTACTAGCCAAAGGCCAAACTTGGAACTGGACATCAGAATGCCAGAATGCCTTCGAACGGGTCAAGTCACTGCTGTCCTCAAACTTACCCTTGAGTCATTTTGATCCCTCCAAAGATTGTTTTAGTCATAGATGCATCAAGCCATGGGATTGGTGCAGTAATTGCACACATGGACACCCATTGATCTCAGAAAGCAATCGCCCATGCCGCCAGAATACTTACGAAGACCGAGAAAAATTACAACCAGATTGAGATAGAAGCATTGGCCATAGTGTACGCAGTCAAGAAATTCCACAGAATGCTATACGGCCGCCGCTTCACGCTTCTGACAGATCACAAGCCCTTCCTGGCTATCTTTGGTTCGATAAAGGGCATCCGGCAACCGGCTACAACGTTGGGCTCTTACGTTAATGGGGTATGATTTCGTGATTCAATACCAGTCGACAGTTTCCATTGGCCAAGCGGATGCACTGTCACGCATAATTAATGCCCGCCAGCAAGAACATGAGGACACAATAATTGCCTCGGTCGAGATTGAACCTGACGTCAACTTACTGGTAACTGATGCATTGCACGGTCTACCAGTTAGCGCAGAAGCTGTACGAACCGGAACACTTCGGGACCCAATACTCAAGAAGGTTACACGATTTCACAAAACAAGATGGCCACGTTCATGTCCATCTGCCGAGTTGCAACAGTACTTGCAGAGGAGACACTCGCTCTCTATTGTAAACGACTGCATACTATTTTCGGAAAGAGTGGTCATCCCCAAAGCACTTCAGGAGCGCCTTATTTGGCAGTTCCATGTCGGGCATCCTGAAATCAACCGCAGTTTTGTATACTGTCCCTTTATGGACATACAGCTAGA